ATTAAATTATGAAGAAACAAAGGTATAGTGATTGTGTGTGTGTGTATATATATATATATATATATATATATATATATATATATATATATAATAATAAAAATGGGGCATCTATTTCAAATATGATTATACACAAAAATGTTTGAAGTAATAAATATGTTGGATTAAAAATAAATACATTAATTCTTTATAAATTGCTTTATGTTCTGGATGCAAAACTGAGCAGATATCAGATTTTCAAGAAAAATTATCTAACTGAGGATGTGTGCTTTGCTTAAAAAGGAAAATAGAGCCTTACAGAACTGTTGTGCTCTCTGTAGCCAAGTGGTAAAGCACACTGAATCAAATAGTGGTTTCTCATATCAAGGGGACACAGATTCAATCCCTGTTGGAGATCACATGTTCTTTATTAGGACTTCTTGAATGTGCAGACTGATAGACAAAATACACTGTTTAAAATAAAAATAGGGTGTCTGTTTCAAGTATAAATATCCACTATAATAATGTTTGAAGTAATAAAATATAACAAAGATGTCTCCTTTGGACAGCTACTACTTAGTTTCATGTGTATGTTGATACGCAATCCTCAGGCCAGAGGAGATACCTTTCTTATAAATAATATTTGCTATGCTATGAAGCTAAAGCTCTTTTTGTTTCCCTCGTAGTTAGATGGCTGACTGCTTGGGAATACCAGGTGCTGTAAGCTTAGATGTGTAGGTGATGTAATGGATAATGGCTTGTCATATTCACCTATGCTCAAATACCTTTGGAAAGGTATGGATTCACCTCTTCTCCCCTCAGCTATGGGTTAATTAGTAAAATTTGTATCAGTAAATCATTATCTACAAAAAAATTCTTACAATCTAAAAATATTTTCTGGTTTTAAATAACCTGTGAAAGGTAAATAAGCCATAACATACAAATTGGTTAATCAATATACATATATACACTAGAGCTGGTGGTAAAAACAAAATGGAAAACATTAAATTCATGATGCATCACAAATTTAATGCTTTTTGTTTTTATATAAAAACTGTTACTGAACTTAAATGGGGTAACTCATTAAATAGTATGCACAAAAAATGACACAGCTTCCAGCTTACTGTGACAAATGACTAACAAATTCACTTATTTGTTTTTTGTATATATAACCTGTATGTGAATGCATGTTGGCTTTTGTTTTATGTCTAATTTACCTGATTGATCGAAATAACCTCCTTAAATTGTAACCAAATTGATTTGAATGCAACTTGGTTCCAAAGTGATCTTTTTATTTGAAAGTAATCCAATGTTGTGTTAAATGTTAATCTAGTTTCAAAAATCTAGAAAGAAATGAAGTGCTTTCATGGTGCTTGTTTAATGAACTGCTGATTTGGGAACTGTTATCATTTCATTCTGTAAGAATACAAACATTTCTTTTTAAATATGTTAAGAAAAATCAGTTGTATTCATGGAGGCTTTTGTTTCTGACCTATTTTTTCCCTATTTAAATTATTCAGATATTTAACCTGTTTTTTTTTGACCTAGCTCATTTTGAACAGGTATTTCAAATAATAACCTATCATCTCGTCAGTATATGCAAATATTATTTTCACCTGTTGATGATTTCTTAGTCAATAATTACTCCAATATATATATATATATATATATAATGTGTGTGGGCACTTGATCCCCCAACCACATGTTTTATTGTCTAAAAGTTTGCAAAACAACACCAGGCCTCAGGAGACACATGGGTGTCCATAAAAGTTGAGCACCTCTTTATTTTACTGTTTTTGTTGTCTGCAATGAGAAAGTCCACTAATATGTCATTTTACCTGACCACTAACCAACCACAAAATAACATTAAATACCGGGAATTTGTGTCACATTTGTAGAAAAGATTGCAAGACGTTTGGTGGACTGAAAAGATATGCAGTCACAAAAATGGACCTAATGACAGTAAAATGTATGATACTCATGTCTATCAAGTTTGTGGCATAGATTTTAATAGTTTGTATGGTTTAAAGAGCCACACCCATTCAAAACACAACTAGGTCTTACAATGATATCTTGCGATAGTGATACTTGGCAACAAAATGGCAGCCAAAACACACACACGCACACACAAACACTAAAATATAAGCTAAAGCTTTAAATTTTTTTTAATTTAAAATTTTAAGATCTCAGCATCTCCTCTTTTATGCTCATGTGTAGTTATATCAATGTAAAGATCAATTTAGTCTGATTAAGTCTTAAAGGATGAAACGTGTCACATGAAAAAAATCTTTTCACTTTGTCATAGATTTTCATATTGTTCAGATATAAAAAAAATTGCATATTTTCCCATATATATATATATATATATATATATATATATATATGGGAGGGGTCTGCCCAAAAATGTATGCACACTTCAAGAAAGGAAAAACCTGTATAGATATTGTAATACTAAATTTATTTAGGCATCATGAAATTAATACAAGTTACTTTTGGATTCTACAATCACAAGAGATGCTGAAAATGGTAGCCTTATCTTTCAGACATTTATTAGTATGCTGAATTACTGCTTGGGCAACGTTGACCAAAGTGTCCAATGGGATTGCTGCACATGCATTTTTAATTTCTTGTCTAAGCGCTACCAATGTAGTCAGTTTTTTGTGATGCACAACATCCTTTAGGACTTGTTGATGCTACAGCCATCTGTATAGAAAATATTGTACTACCATAAACAGTGTTATTACAATTTGATAAAACTACAAAAGAAAAATTTTTCCTTTCCTCTAGTGTGTATACATATTTTGGGACAGACTGTATGTGTGTGATGTATATAAAATTAAATAAATTATATGTTTATGTTCACCTATCCTGTCTCCACTTTGAGTCTTGCAGAAATCACATCCACTCATCAGGAGACTTGACTGTAAAATTGTATTCATTTTCAAAAATGTTGGGCCTTTCCAAAGGTTTATTCTTTATTTCCAACCTGCTCTGTTTGCTGTAGAAGCAGTTTTGAGTCCAGTCAGTACTTAGATGGGAGACCACTTGAGAACATCAGGTACTGTAGCTACCTCTTAAAATATGAAATATGTTTCAGCTTTAAATAAACCCACAAAGGGCTAATAACCCATAAAAAAAAAATAATCGTTCAGGTGCTTGCTGTAGAATGTCAACCTGAGAAATTGTGAAAACAAAGCAACTGAAATTAAGATGAAAGAAATAGATTGACTTTTTTATCTCATATCAATATTAAAGATGTGGTCATTTGCTTTAAAGAATATCAGAAAATAGTCAAAAATAAAATTCTGATGGACAAAATTTCACTCCAATATATATATGAGGGAAAGACTGCAATGAGTGAAAAGATTCTATATTTTGAACTAGGAAAATGATCCTTGAAAGCACTTCTCTTCAAATAAAAGCTAACTTACATTTAAACTAATGAAATACATTCACTCCAAAGTGAGTATACACAAGAACAAATATTTGTCTTTTTAATGTATGTTATGTTTTGAATGGCTTTTGATATTGCTTGATCTTAACTTGTTTTAGCAATGCTTTATTAACTTCTTTTTCATTGTTTTTTTTTGTTTTTTTTTGCCCTTTCTTTTCTTTCCATTCTTTTTGCTTCCATCTCTTTGACTGCAAACCTGATAAACTATCTTGCTATTCAAGTCGGAAAGCGAAGGTTAGAAAACTTCGTCGGTAGACAACCAATATGCTTTCTCAGTCCATTATAGCTCCAAGCCCTAGACTACATGCAAAGTTCTGGAAATAACATCTCAAAAGTCAGGGGAAGGTGTGTATCTTCAAACAGAATAAAAATTGTCTTTTCTGGTCCAAACTTCTGAAGGTTTTTTGACAAAGTTTAACCTAAGTACTCACAAAAAAAAAAAAAAAAACAGTGTGTCAAAAGGACAGTTTTTCTTTCGACACCATTATTGCTGTATACTCCTTCAATAATGTTTATTGTTTTAAAATGTTCAGAATTTTAATAAGAACAAAAATATTACACACTATTTGGTTGTTAGATTGTTTATTTGGATATTTGAATTAGTCAATGTTTTGCCAATTATTTCAAAGAACGCAATCTGTGAGATTTGCTAATTGCTTTGGTCAAAGTGCTTAGTGTCCATTCTTTATTTAAGATTTCATCATCAGTCCACATTTGAGTGAATATAGATAATCGATCTGCAGATTTTCTAGGCATGCTTCATGCAAATTTTTAGAAAAAATTAGCAACAATTTTAAAAAATCTTTCAAAAATTGTTTTTCGAAAAAGAGTAAGAAGAGGATTCACCTATAATTGCTGAAGTTTTAAGCCCAATCAATTAGGCATCCTAAATCACGATTATGAAAAAAGGGAAAATTAAAATGAAATATTCTGTGAAGAAAATGTATGTTTGGAAAAGTCTTATATTTAAATTTTCTGGTTCTATATTTCAGAAATTTATGAATAAAAACATGTTTTCATATTTATTTCTTTATAAAATGGTAAATAATAAATATTGCATTGAAGTTTTACATATTTTTATAATAAATATAAAATTTAACAAGTAAATACTGTGTAACATTTTTATTCTAAATATAGCATTTTAAAACAAACATTACCAATGAAGTGGTGGGAATAATAGGGGTGTCAAGAGAAAAAAAAAACATTCTTTTAACACAATGTTTTTTACAGGTACAAATGTTAGACATTGCAATTTTTTGTTTAAAAATTTTATTAAAAGATAAAAATTTTGAGATATGTTCTTTTTATTTATTTTTTTTTTCTTGTGTTGTTGACTAAATATTTGCTTTGTACAATATTTAGATGCCATGAAATAATTTTGCAAATTTAAAACTGCATTGTTTTGTTGATTCTTAAACTTTGGGTTTTGTTTATAAAATGTTCTTGTAATGATCAAGACAAGAAACAGCAATGTGGTTAGATTGTTAGACACTACTTAAATAAACTGGTCCACTTGTAAAAAATTTTGGGGGATTTAATTTTTGTACTTTAAATCTTCCTTAGGCAGTGATGGTCAGTTCATTCTGAAAACAGCAGTTCTCATTTGATCACTGAAATTAAGCAGCATAGAGCCTGGTCAGTATTTAGATGGGAGACTATTTGGGAACTGTAAACAACCTTTTTCAATTCAAAATGTTTCAGATTTAAATAACCCACAAAGTGTTGATAATCCATAAAGAATTGCAAATCAATCAATCCATCAGCAGCAACATTTTTAAGAATCAAAAAAATATTTATTTTTATTTTTTTTTTTTTTATCATTTTAGATGTGGGTGGGTCTTGTTCCTAATATCAATACAGTGTAAAATTGATCCTTGATTTTTTTAGTTATAGCTGTTATTTTCAATAGCTGTTATTTTCAAGTTTGAAAGTCTGGTGACATCATTGATATATGCATATTAATTTTTTTTAACTTTTTTAAAAGAATTTTTTTAAACTTATTTTGTAAGGGTTTTTTTCAGAAGCACATGCACAAACATTTGAGGCTAATAATTATTTATCTTAAATGAAAAATAAATGAATACTTTAATCTAAATTTTGATTTAATAAAAAATGTATATATTCATTTTAAAGAAATATTTTTGTAACCTCCCTCTCCACAAAAATGTCTGTTTTTGTACACAAAACAGCTAAGTTCAATTACTCTGTAAAAGTCGGGGATTGATTTTACACTATAGTGATATTATATTTACAAGTTACTCTTTAGTACTGGTTGTTAAATGATAAGAAAAAGACAATCTGTCAATATCGCACATTAATCTCTTTGCCTTGTTGTTTGGTATATATAAATACTTAGTCTGACAAGACTAAATGGGGATTAAGAAGATTGTGTTGCATCGATTTTTCAAATAGGAAAAGCATTGTTACCTTGAAAATCAGCATTTAGATCCTACCTTTTACCTAAGTTTGAATGTAACTACAAATGTTAATGAGAACTTTGCAACTATTTTACCCACAAAGTAGCCCTTTTTATTTATCCTGCATATTTTTTAATAATATGTGATGTGGAAAAAATATTTCCCATCAGATATTCTATCCTATTTTTGTTATGTACATCTCGTGTCCTAAAAAGTAAACTAATTTTTCACATTTTTTTTCTTTTTCCAATGCCTTTTATCTGCAACCTTTTATTTGCATTTTTAACCTGCTTTAAAAAATCTGCTATACCTTTTTCAAACTTTGATATTTTTACATTAAAAAAAAGAAATTACATGAATTATTTGTGGTCATCTTTGTGTCGTGTCCACTCAGGACATAGGCGATCATGGCACTCCACAGTTTCCTGTCCCTTGTAGTTAATAAACTTTCTCTTTCTGTTATTTCTCCTAAGTTCTATTCTATCATCCATTTACTGAAGCTCACTAAGTATGTTATGCATTGTTTTCCTCTGTCCCTCTTGCACTCTTTGTCCTGTGAGTATCAGATTTTCCAAACTCTCCTTCCTCATTGTGTACCCCAGAAACCGCAACTGTCTCATCCTGATGTTAAGTATTAGTTTCCATTTTTGTCTCCACCTTCTCCAAAACTTTATTATCACTTAAACATTGCTTTGTATCACTTGTTTGCATTCTTAATAAATACTTAAGTCTTATTAGAGGTACAAATTTTAATTATAACAAAAAGAACAGATATGATTAAAAAGGGACAAAAATAGAAAACTACTATGGTCATTTAATACAAAAAAAGAGAAAGAAAATAATAATGAGTTAACCGGTTATCATGCTTCATAAATCCTGCGTTCCCTCCCAAGGACAATGTACTGATGATGATGATGATGAGGGAATATATGCTAATGACATAGGTATTCATAGTTAGGATAAGAATGATCTTGGACAGAAAATCAACATCCTCTACCAAGTGTTCTAAGAACTAGTAAGACTTGTATCACTACCATTATTATCTTAAAAAAAAAAACATTGTCAGTTTGAATAATAGTGCTGGGTAAATGTTTTGAAAAGTAATAATCTTGCAGTGCCAAATAATCACTGACAGTAGGCAATGGGAATTAAAGGAATTATTTTAATCCTGCTGGCACTTGTATCTAGTATACAAAAATTTATCTACAAACATTCTATTCATAATATTGAGTAGTCTTTTCCCATGAGTATAGCAAAATTCTAAACAATTATATATGATATGATGAGACAAAGTGGAAAAAGCTTAAATGCATTGTGATTTTTGAGGATAAGAGGGGACAATAAATTACCTTATCAGATGACAAACTTATTGCCCCTCTTATCCTCAAAAATCCCAATGCATTTTCCTTACACACAGTTTTGTCTTTCATTCCACTCTAAAGAAGCCAAATCCAACACACGTCACATTCTAGAAATGCATCATCTATAAGATCTTCCAATTAGTCTCATCATCCTACAAGTGCGCGCGCACACACACACACACACACACACACACTGGGCGTAACAGCAAAATTGTCCAAATTATGTAACAGTAAAATTGTCCAATTGTTAGATTAAGCTTTGAACCCTTGTATCTTAGAAATGATTAAAGATATCTTACTGGGATTCTTCAAGGTTTTTATAACACTATTGGACTCTACTTAGAGCTAAATACATTCTTATTGTTTAAAGTTAGAATGGTGATCCCTCTTGCAGTTGTGACCTCCTGATCCAGTTTTCCTCTCTACTGTTCCCTATTTTTCAAGCTCATTCACTGTTCTCGTGATGGTTCTTGAATGGACTTTGAAGATGGAAACCAAAGTATAAATGTTGGTTCCATTACTGAAGGCCTGAATGATCTTTTTCATTTCACCATTGGGAAGATATTGTGGGTCTGACACAATGATTTTAATCTGTTCTCTTTCTAGCTGAATAACTCGGATATTTTTTTTCAGTGATTCTTATGACAAATGGCGTCAAGATGACTAAACATCTTATCTGAAAACATGAAAAAAAAAAAAAGAAACTCAGTTTAGTGTTTTTTTTAAGATATTAAGCATTTTGAGGGATGGGTAATTATCCCATGCTGTTACATCCAGTATGTGCATATATAATATATATAATATATGAATTTCTATGGGTAATAACCTAAATGCAAAATGTAACTAAGAACTTCTTTTTTAGGAAAATGACTTCTGTTTACTAGTACACAGAAAGTCTTTGTTTTGCTATTTTTTCTCCGTATTTCATGAAATTAAATTAACAATAATATAACTCCTTTGCATAATAATTTGGCATGTACTTATATGTGAGGATAGTACACTTGTATAAATGTTAATACATTTCTTGGTCACATCTCTTTACTTACCTGCATGCCTGTAATATCTATATTTCTACACTCACACCCAAACATTGATTTTGTTGTTGTAGGTTAATTTAGTATCTCTGATTGATTTATCTACATACTAATAGTATGTATAATGTTTTTAGTATTCTTACTCTCCCCCTAAAAAATTCTATTATGATTTACCTTACTTCTCTTGAATCTAATTGTAATTGAACTGGGAAGGAAATTTTTTTCTGCCATTCATCCAAACTAAGAAATCTACTTGCCATGACCAGTATTTAGCCACAAACAGCTTTGATGCTTTCTTGACACTTGGGGTAGAGAGAATAGTGAAGTAGAAGAGGAACATTTTTTTTTTTTTTTTCACTTTGAGAACATGATCCCAAAAATAGTATTCTAACATATTGTCTTTAACTTAACATTCCAAATATAGACAGGGAGCATTATTAGAGAGTAAGAAAATTAAATGTGGCTGTGTATATCAGCTTGTCAGGCTAGTAGTATAAATTTAAATATATATATGTTTTCCTCTTTTACTATGAAACATACACCTGGGCTAAAGAATGGATTTTCTAAAAACACATTTGCATCCAGTATACAAAGAAAGGGTTTCCCTAATGTTAGTTTGTCCTTTAGAAAGCCTATTTTACTAAGATTTTGCAAGGCTGGCTAGGGTAATATCAAAATTAAAAAACTGAAAACAAACAGTATTCATAATAATATAACTGGGCAGGATCAATTTCACAACAAACAAATTTTCAAAAAAATTTATTATATACTAATGTTCATCCATTACAAGGTCCAAGAGCCACTCAAGGTAGAAGGTCACCGTGTGAACTTATATTAGTGTAGGAAAGGACAAGTGTTAGGTGTATAGAACTGAAGCAGATTTTAGAATGAACCAGAAACCCAATCCCAAACAGGAAACAAGGGATAACCCTCTACTCCTGTTCAAAAGTCTGGGGAGGGTGTGAACAGGGTGATAAGTGACCTTATCTATTCCTATTGGTGGAGAGAAAATAAAATGAAATAAATAGTGAATAAAATTTCATACTTCAGGCACAGACATTAGAATTACAGAGCTGGTATAGACTTTAGAAGGAACCAGAAATCTAATCCTAAACAGGAAAAAAGGGAAAAGCCTCTACTCCTGTTCAAAAGACTGGGGAGAGTGTGAATCTGACAATTCCAGTTTCTGCTCAAATTCTTAGAAATTCAGCCCAGCTTAAATATAGATTAGTTATTTATGGTAACTGCTTTGAAAGCTTATTACCAAATTGATATCATATATTAAGATAAGACAAGGATTTCACATTTAAATATATTGAGTTGTTTGTTCAATTTATTTAAGTTCCCTAATATGCAATTTTCAATTTTTCTTTTTCATTTTCTTTTTCTTTTTTTTTTTTTTCCCTTTTCCTTTTTCCTTTTTTCCCTTTTCCTTTTTTCCTTTTTAAGCATTTTGAATATGAAAAGTCTTTGTAAAGGATCCAGTTCATAATTTACAAGATTATTTTATGGCACAGAAAAAATATATATTGGACAAGGGGCTGCTGAAAGTTTCTAGGCTCAACCGAGAAGGAATTCCCTATGCAAAATTTTTATGTCTACTTGTTTTAGGAAGTGGATTGGGCCAAGAACATTTTATCACCCCCTTGTATATTTTTATATTGTTTGTACCACAAATATCTAATTAGATAATTTTTGCATATGAAAATAAAAATTTCCAATTTTTTATTGAACCAAAATGGGAATGGCCAAAAGGCCTTAACACATGGTTACTGTGTCAAATTTCTTTTTCGTTTATCCTGTAATATATGTGACCATTATTATATGTTTGTAATAATATCTAGAAATGTTATTAT